ATTTCTGAATATTAAATAGAAGCCATGGGTTGGCAATGATTGCTTGTCTTTTTGTGTGTAAGAAATTTCATAAATTAGCTCATCAGTAAGTTTGGTCCCTAAGAAGCAACACACATAATTTTAATTACCTGTAATTTTGGATAGTCTTCAAGATTAATCTTGTTTTATAAATCAGAGGATCTCAAAAGCTGCTCAAAGTCACATGGCAAAAGAAAGTGAAAGAAAAATTGCAGTAAAATCAAATCTTCAAAAAACATAAAAAAGTGTACTGTCCACAGTGAACCTCGGACTGGGTTAAAATACAGAGGCTTGTATCATTCGCTGGCACAGCAACTCGGTCAGAATCTTGTGTGTGTAGTGTCCTCAGTTTGGTCCAGTATTAAAGAGTGGAGCTTATCAAAGGCAAAAATCAATTCATGTACTTCTACTATGATGTCATTCACAGTAAGGTCAATCCACCAGGGGGCAGCCTTTCTTTGGCTCAACAGAAACAACACTACTGGTTTTACAGGCTAGGTCATTCATTCATCAGCCAGTATCTTCATCCGTGACACATTTACCAGTCTGCCCATCCCTGGAGCGTGATCACAGATGAAGTCTTCACATGTCAGGCAAAGTATCTCTTAGCCAGCTGCCGGAAGTTTTTGGTGACTCCGATTATTATTAAGCCATATCTTTATGCAAGTTCAGGCCTAGTCTCCATCTCTCCTCTGGATGCAGTGCGAGCTCTCATGTACTCGCTGTTCTGTGCTCCACCCTGACTGCTGTTGCCACGGCGCCACCTGCGTACAGCCAGGAAGGTGTTGACGGCGTAGACAACCGTAACCAGGAAGCCAAAGAACTGTAATACAGGAAAGCATGGGATTCAGTTTACATAATACAATTTAATAATAACACTGACCCACACAATTTGGGACGTCAACAATAGATCATCTGTTGATAATTGTGATTATTCACGTTGCAATATTTTCATAAGAACTCAAAATCTGTGGTAGAAGGTAACAAAGTAAAAGTAGTAAAATACTGTATAGTACTGTAAGTAAAAAAAAAACTTAGGTATCTGTACTTTACTTAAATATATTTTACAGTGGATACTTTTTACTTTTACTTCACTACATTTGAGAGCAGGTACCTTTACTTTCTACTCCACTACATTTTTTTTATTGGACTGAAGAGTATTTTTTTTAACACACATAATTTGAGTAAACAAAAATGTGATATGCTTACTTTTACTTGAGTATTTTTCTACTCTGGTATCTGTACTTTTACTTAAGTAAAAAAATTTAGTATCTTCTAGTCCTGCTCAAAATAATAATCACAATCATTTTATCAATCAATTATTTAAATGCAAAAATAAATCTCAATCCGATCTATGCTCCAAAAAAGGCCAGGTGTTAAGAGGGCTTTTGTCTATTTTTATATGTCACATTAACTGTGAATGAATAAATGGTAACATGGTTTGACATTGTGAATGATATAAAGTTATGGTGTCAATAATCATGAATAATTGTGAAATCATGTTGTCTATTCTCACAATAGCTAAAAAGTACAGATAATATTACTCTAAATAGCCTATATACACACCAGATTGCAGCAGTAACAAAATAATCCTGATCTTCGTAAAACTGTTTTGTAAATGAACCATAAATGAAACACTAAAGTTGCAAGTTAATATTGATAATGAGTAACATATTCATTGCTCCATGCTGAAATGTAAATGTACTACAAAAACAAGAAAAGGTTCACCACTAGCATAAATAAAAAGTACAGACAATAAACACTGAGCCAAAAATAACAGTATTCATTTCTCATTTTAAGAAAAAACTAATGATGTAATTATAAAATAAATCTCTCATGTTCAGAGACGTGTTTATAACTCACCGTGGCTGCTATCTCTGCTCCTGTGCTGTCATTGACAATGGCCAGTACCAGAGAACAGAGGAAGAAAAAGAGGGTAGTGGCAGCTGTGTTGACCAGGTCCTAAAAAGGAACAAAATATATAGTTTGGTAAAGGCCATAGGCACATACAGTTGAGCAATATAATAATAATATTATAATAATATCAATCTGAAAAACAAAATAAATAAAAAAGTTTCAAGTTGATGTGACAAAATATGCACATTTAGGTTTACTTATTTTAGTAAATACTGAATTGTAAGTTATAAGTATATTGTGTGCTGTATAATTATAATCATAATTGATAAACTGGATAATCTTCTCTAATTTTTGGATGATATGGTTTCATATTGTTGCAATCTTCTCAGTTTGGCCAAGAGTGGATCTTATCAAAATAATACTACATTCATCATTGACATCTACCATGATGTTATTCACAGTAATAGACGACAGTGTTTATTTGGCTTTTCCAACTATAATGAGCAATAAAACAATAAAGGAGGGAGTTTTAGCCTGTTGTGACCCTTGGATGATTTTGCTGTTGGTCAGGTCTGTGTGTCTTTTGTATAAAACAGTTAAGACAGAGATTTGCCTTTGAAGTTTTAAACAGAGTAACTAAAAAAGGGAGGAAGGGTCCATAATAAAGTGCCCAGCATGACCGGGGTTAGGGCCTCGTGACCACAGGCCTGATGGTAATAGACTGAGACATGACCTCTCATATGACAGTTTCACAATGGGGATTGCAGGACTTTAAAGTTTCAGTCATGCAATGATAGTCTCTCAAATTTTATCATAGTTTTAAAGTAATTTACAACAACTTAAAGACAAAATTAATTTGCCCACAAAGCAAGGTATAGCGCAAAAATAGTAAGTTTGATGTATGTAAAGCCATTATGAAAGCACAAGTTAATAGGTAGTAAAATGTAATAATTAAACTCCACTGTTATGAATCAATTATAAATTCTGAGAACTAAATTTAGTTTTCTGACTAGCAGCAGGGGAATTTTAAAGGAGGAGTGAAGTAAAGTAATCAAATGGAATTATAATGTGTAGGCAAAACATTTAACACTTTACTTCTTAACTAATGTCCACACTAATCCTAATCCAAACATATAATCCTGACTCCACCCACAGTCATTCGGATGACTAGTCCACCAACACAATGCACATCCCTGTCTGTCTGGACTAACTAGTTTAACTGGAACTCAGGCACGTTCACAATCCACTGTCCTGTTCTGTGGAGTACAAATAATCTATACAGCTTCACTCTACATTTTACTTCACATTCCACGTTTTAACCAGAGCAGTAGGCCGGAAAACCACAAATAACACACACAAAACCAGGAAAATCAGTGGGTTTCGGACTCTTTTGTTATTCCTACAATTTTCTCGCTACCTGCAAAAACAATTAAGGTCTGCTTTTAAAACCCAGTCAAAACATTTCAGAACATTTTGCTGATTACTAAGAGAAATAGGCTGGTTTGTCTAAAAATGGATGTTGATACATTGAGTATAGATGTAGCAAAAAAAAAGTATTTGTCTTTGAAATAACAATATCTGTCTAATATGCATTTACACATAAAGTATAAACCAAACTAAAATAAAAATAAAAAAAATAGTATGGGATAATCCTGTATGTCTTTGGTCGTCTTGGGTGGTAGACATGAGCGATCCAAATCAAGAATAGTTTTATTGGACAGTGCTTGCCCTGAAAGTAAATACATGGGTGAAGTGGTTTGAAGTGATGAGAGATTTATGGTAAGTGCAAAGAACTCTGTGTCATGTTTGGATCAATTATAATTCACAGAATATGCCATTTATACACTTGACACCTAAATTTTACTTCTCTAAGCCACTCCAAGCATTTCAGTCCAAAATAAACTCTCCTTTTCATTAATTTAGTGAAAAATGGGTCACTCATTCATTGTGCTGAGTGAACCTAAGTAAATTCTCAGGCATAAATTGTTATCTAATCTTATTTTCTTGTGAGTAGTGTACAGCTCATTAACACTACAAGCAATGTGGCACAACCATCTGTGCATGTAACTGTAGGTTTATGCAACTGATACCGTTTCATCTGCAAGATGTGTTAAAATATCAATAGTATACCTATTAATTGTTCCAACCTAAATATAATAAGGTTGTATCGCATTACAGCATGATCAAAACATCTTTATCCACTTGTAATAAATAAGTTATTCAGATTTCATTATAGATGAGAACTGGCGAGAAGCAGTGAAGCTGAGTTAATGGTGACTGAGCATTTAGGAAATCTCCCTGGTGAAATTCCCAAAGGCCTCAAAGGCCCGAAGTGACTGCAGCAGCTTTGAACTTGATAGACAAAAACAGTATGGGGTACAGCAGCCCACACAGCAACCTACAGGATCATTACTAGAGCCAATTTCATGGGAGGACTTCAAAGATACCAAAACCTAGAGAGTAGAAACTAATCCTGGATATTTTAGAGGAACATTACAGCAAATCGCTATAAATTTAAGCTACCTAATAGTTGAATCTGGCATCTTAAAGTTGCACTGCATGACTTTTCTGGTAAAGAGTCCAACATCTGCTGTTTTTCAATTATGTTCAACAGTAAAGCATCAAACTCATCTATCCATGGAGACAAGCAGACCATGCCAAGAAGGTTAAGTTGGAGAGCTGTTCACAGTAAGAATGTACAATGAGGTATTTTGAGCAATACATACTCTAAAATCCATTCTGGAGTATGGCTATATTGTTCAGTTGGTATTTTTCATATTGTACCATTGATTCAGCAATCCGATACCTGTGGTTGGATTTGGACATATGCCTTGACATCCATTGGTTTTTAAGTACAGTAATCTGTGTGGTCTCTGGAAATTCAGTTTAATGGTATTTTCCACTGTTTCTGCAGGCAGTATACTGTGAGTATTTCAGTAGCACATGAACGTGCACATGTAGGCAAATCAAGGCCAGTCTGTGCCAGAGATCACCCACCAGCTCATTTGCTTCCAGCTGACAATGCAGATCCTACACACAATGAAATGAAAGCCACAACTACTCTAAACTCCGAGTTCATTATGTTGTACAATGAAGCTAACAGAGCCATCAGCTTCTAGCAAAGTTTAAAAAACAGCAATCTAGATACTGAATGATGTTTCCTATAATGGCATTGTCACCAAAACCATTAAACCAAAATCAACATCAAGCCAATAATAATATCCCAAAGCTACAGCTAGTTATGTAGAAAACTAAAGTGTAGCATTACAAAAATAAAAGAACAGTCAGAAACAACAATAAGCACTCATATCATATCATGGACATAACAATGATTACTGATAAAAAAAAAAAGACTGCACAGTCCTTGACTACACTCAAGAAAACCCTACATCTATAGTCAACACCGCAACTATTAAAATGCTACACTTGTAATAACTTAATATTTTAAACTAAATAATTTGGAGCAGTATAAGACCACATAATATTAATCGAAATCTGTACAGAGTAACAAGCCTGGTATCAAAGTTTGAAAAGTTTGAAAGTTAAATATAGTGACAGTTGTACTTACTGTGAGGCTCCAGTTGATTTGGGGCACCTTGGTGTGTAAATTGAGGCAGAAGATAAAGAGAAGGACCCCCGTCACCACAAAGGCTGTGCAGCTGACGAACTCAAAGAAGTATATGCCTCCACAGGGGGAGCACCTCATTATGGTCTCTATACAGATGAAGCCAATCAGTGACAGAACCTGGGGAACAAATATGGAAGGATTAGTGAAAGAAATAAACTCAAACTGCTTCTATTTAACGCCGTAAAGATAATGACAAAAATTTATATTTCAGTATTTTTGTATTAACTCAATAATGATAATGAGAAGATACTTGGGAAATACAAAAGAAATGTTTTAAAGTGTGTATTTAAATGTTTTTCTGAGGTTTAAGTATCACTATTAAATACTACTAAGAAAGACTACAGTGTGATTTTCTTCCAATGTTATTTTTAATCAGAGCTTTTTACAGCATTTTGAAATTATGTTTGTTTATTATTAAGGATTTCCTATATTAACATGACCAGCCTCTACTGTAAAGTTAAACGGAGCAAATCTAGAGCCAGTATTGGATTATAGTTATTCTTGGTCCTGTGCATAAAGGGCAATTTGGGTCGAGTCACAGCGAAAGTTTATTATGACTGTTTCTCCAAGTGTCTAGATGATAAAGGGATACTCCTATAATAGCTTTGTAAACATATCTCATGAGCTGCATTCTTGGCTGATCTTAGGTTTATTCAACGAACATTGTACTGGTGCCCAAAATAAAGAAAAAAGTTAGTTTGTTATCATGTAATTTATTATATGCAGTATTTTTTTTATCCTGTTTGTATTGCATTTATAGTTTTTGTTTTGAAAAGGTAATACAGGAAGTTTTTCAATAATGAATCTCCTTCAGGTTACACAAACCCAAAGCATGATAATTTGAAAAAGCCTTCAAGGTCTCACTTCTTGTATGACTGTATTATTAAGCAAGGTCATGGGCTAAATAAACATGTTTTGCTGCACCTGAATTTTCATGTAATTTCAATTTGTTATGTGCTTTAGTTCTCAGTGTATTCCCTATGCTTATTTCTAGCCTCTAAAATGTTACGTGAACATGCTTTTATAGGCAAACCATTGAAAGACTTTTAGATAAAGATGCACTGTGCAACTTTTCTGATGTCATATGTTCCATGTTATGGTACATTAAACATTTCCATTTAGCATTTATTCATTTCGGGTGTTTCTATTACTCAAAAATTCAGTGATTCCTTCTGTAAATAGGGACAACTCTCCACAGATCTGAACTGTAATGTAGCATAGTGCTTTAGCCTGCTTGTCTCTTGTGTGATACATGGCCTAGGTTTAATCTATACTGTGGAACATTCTAGACAAAGCAGTAACATTTCCATGGAGACAAGCAGGTACGGACCCTCCACCAGAAAAGTTATGTAGTGCACCTATAAAATATTTAAAAGATGCTGATCCCCAAATCTTCAACCACACGATCTTACTGGAGTATCCAGTTTAGCAGCCCATATGTAAGGCTAACACAACTAAACAAGGTTACACCCAATCGTGAGGAGGGTCTCTGGGCTGATGTCATGTCTGTTGAAGAAATCATTCCCCAAAATCCCTGCAGCTGGTGTGGGTAAGTCTCATAGGAGGATCATAATACACTATACCAAAGCATCTGGTCAGTAATGATTTTCTTACAACCTTTTCTGCTATCTACCGTAGAATATGTGAATGAATCAAACAAGCATCATTCCTCTTCTCATCTACTGATATTTGCAACTGGTGTCATCAACACTCCCTGGGGGTGTGGTGCTAAGTTAGCTAACTGCAGACACTGCTATGTTTGAAGCTCTGTTACTCAAATCAGTCTTTAATCGTATCTTTGTTTTAACACAATCTGACCAGAAAGAACTGACTTAACTGGAACTAGAACAGGTGAGGTGATTTGTGCTCTTAAACAAGTCCCTCTCAAATAACATTACAGTCCCAAACTAGCGAGCAAGTTTTTTAGTTAGTCACTTTCACCTTTTTGTTTAAAGTCAAACACCTAAACAGGATGCTTGTATTGATCACAGGCTCCTGAAAATGTGTTTGCTTTTGTGTCATTTAGTATTTTTCCTTGAGATTTCAATCTTTAAACTTTTTTGCAGGTTTGGTTAATGTGTGTGTCAGCATGGTAACTCCTACATGTATCTCTAATGGTGGAATAAAACCCCCAGCATGATGTCACTGCAAAGTATCTATAGTTTTGCACTTTGTTGGCTTCTTCCTTCTTTGTCCTAAACTTGGATCTCCTCCTTGTGCACCATCTGTCTCTCCTAAGGTATTTGGGTGAGAAAAGCCTTGCTGAAAAGATTAACTCACAATATGTTCCACATTGACTGTAATGGAGCACATGTACAGGAGATAGAAACTGCCCAACACCATGGCGCCCAGGTCAGAGGAGTATTAATTAGGATTAAAGTTGTACAGTATGCACACCTCACTGTTGTGTGTTCTTGTGTTTAAGTAACTAAAAGTATCTGAATAAGGAAAAATATATTTGCTGAGGGATAACAAGTATCCACTAACACAAAGCTTCATCTGTTACCTTCATTACAGATAATTTTACCTAAAAGTAAAATAAATATTAAAAACATGCATGAATATAAAGTAAGTGGTAAATGACACAGTTATCACAATCAAATATAATTTTGAATGATCATAATCAGCAAATTTCAAAGGCTGCAATTATTTAGGCAAATATTCTGTCTCCATGGGGTCTTATTAAAACCCTGCCAACCCTGTAGTTTAGACCTCTACAAGCATGTTCTGAAAAGCATGTGATACTTGTATTAATGTGGTAGTTCCTATTTTAGCCTTTCCTTTAATAACAATGCCCCTGTACATTAAAATGTATACAGAAAACTGTCATTTAAAGACAAATCTCTGATGTAAAAGAAATTAATTATACAAATATTTTCCAGAAATCGTTCACTCCAAGTATAAAATCATGTTATGGTAATACTAAGCAGATGGGCAGTTGGATTTCCGTTGGGCTTTGTTGACTCAATCATCAATGAGACAAAGGATAAGCGGTGGCCGAAGCAGACACGCCTTTCTCAAGTTTCAGTTTCCAGGTCTTGGGGACATTTCTCTGACCCAGGGGCACACCTCTACCACAGTCATTACAGCAATAATTATAATTTACTGTATATTATTTCTTCACTCCATACTTTGGAGCCTTGGTTATCACCCTTAGTTTTTGTTTGAGTGTTTGTTTGTTTGTTTTTTTTAATTAAATGCATTACAGTTTTTAAAAGGTGGCAGTTGCATTGGAAAACGTGAAGATGAAGATGTTCTAACTTGATTCTCTAACGTGGGTGGTGAAAATCTTGTGACTATATTTTGTAAACAAACAAAACAAGGCATTTTATTTTAATGCAATAATGACTGATGCAAAGTACAAATGACAGGGCTAGGTTATACAGACGTGAAATGGCTTTCTCAGAGCAAACAAGACTAGAGTGGGGAGATACTGTATAATAAACATTTCCTTTGGCAAAGTCATAAGGAAATACAAACAGCACTAATGGGAAGTGAAGGTACAGACTGGACTCAGGGCAAGGAATGATATACGGGCAGCCAGGTGTAACAGGTGCACGAATAGGCTCATTTAGCCCATTTCTCTTTTCCTCTGGAGCAAACACTTAGAAATTCTGACTACAGTGGTGTTGCCAAATACTGCAGTAACTCCTCCAATCCATCCAGCACTATTCCTTTAATACAACTTAATAACATGTTTTTAATATGTAGTTTGCAATAGATTTAAGTTTTTTGTTTGTTTACTGAGCTTGTAGGTACATTTAAGAATTGAAATGCTACTTGTAATTCTGGATTTCAATGTAAATTTATGACTGGGGAACATTTTCATATGAGAGATAACAAGGAACTAGTGATAAAAAAAGGGCAATGCCATTTGGCCGATTAAATGTTTAGCTTTGCAGATAAAATATAACCTGTGAACACACTGATGTAGTAGTTCAACCTTTTAGTCTAACAACAGGTGTTTTTCTATGCAAACTTCCCACACATCGCCTATAGACAGGTAAACATCTGTGCAATATAGCTAAAAGCAAGTAGTTTTGCATATACTGTATTTTTATCTTTTTTTGTCCTTCTGGAGTGTCTCTTCTACTTAGTCTTCTTATTCTACCCACACTGCACTTGGACATAATTGCTAGTTTCCTCAGATGCATGGGTTTTCCGGTTGTTGATCCACTATGTAGCCTGGATCTTTTGGCAAAGTAAAACAATTGGTACAAAATTAGCTCCCTGATGAACAATAACTGAAGATCCTAAGTTCTACACACTATGTGTAACCTCAAAAATTGAGGTGAATTTTATAATCATATGAAATAAATAAAATTACCATCTAATTAAAGGTGTTTAAGATTTTGATTAATCAATAGAAAACAAACATATTACATATGTATTTTACAATGGGGTGTATGTAGCCTGTAATTCACACAAACATTACAGGTGTACACAGTGAACTGTGAACATTATGTGGCAAAGGAAATTTTGAACTTTATGAAATATTAACTTTTATGTGATGCATGCCGCTGGCCAAACAATTACTAGACTGTGTACTGCTTACAACACATGGTGGATCACAACAGGAGGCCACTACCATGACTTGCATAGTAGGTGTAATCTGAAACTCGCAGCATCCGTGCATGCTTTGTTTTGCATGATTCATTCATTGTAGTAGTGGAAACTCAAGTAAATACAATAGTAAAGCCTGTTGGAATAATTGTCTTTTCGACAATTGCACTGTTATGAAACTTACCACTTCGACCACCTTCAGGATCCCGAAGTAGGACTTGAGGTAGTCCATGTCAAACCTAAGTCCCCAGAACATGTTGCGTGAGTGTACGGGCTCCGTGGTGGGCTGGTATGGACTGCTGGCCCCAGAAATCATGGAAGTGTTGGAGGCCTCGCCGTCAAACGCGTCTCCCTCCTCTGTGGTCCTCATGATGGCTCTGGGCAGCGCCTGGACCGAGTTTTAGGACGCAAAAGCAAGCCTCGCAGATAGCGTACAGTGCAGTCTAAGTGACAGAAAGCACACGCTGTCCCATGGACGAGGACCTGAACTGAATGGTCCACTTTTCAAAGGTGCGCTTTTACATAGCGGTTGCCTGATCTCCGTGCGTCCTCCTCCGTATGAACACTGGGTCGATCTAGAACAGTCCCTCTTGTGAAGTCACTTGTTAGCGCACCACGACCATAACACCACCGGGAAATGTTCACTCACCACAGCCGAGAACCGCCGAGAGACAGGACGCGGTTTACTAAGGCAAACTTAATAGTTCGCTACAGTGAGTCAGACTGAACGTACGCGGCGCTTCGCTCGGTCTATGGATGCGGACAGGAGCACTCGATAGGAGCGAGCTTGTCTCCGCCCCTCCTGAAAGGGCACATTCTTGTGTAAGGATGTGAGCCAGTTTTAAGTATTCCCAACCAGGCTGCAAAACGAACCAGTGCAGAACCACGCCGAAAGGACGGAGCATAGACGTACAATTATCTTGCCTGGCAAAGTCCGTGCCTTTTCCCTGCAGTGTATACCCGCGATTTAGGCTAACTTTATTTTCATAGCCTACGAGTTCAATGCAAATGTGTAGGCAGTAATGCGCAATTGTATGGTTATATTTCAGTTTATTGCAATGCATTTAGTGAGATCTACACTTGTCGAGATCTGCTCTTGTCTGCTCCATACATTCTAGGGCTGCTCGTGTAATGTGGCATCACGCTGGCTATTTAATGTTAATGTGGTGGCAAGTTCAACATAAACACGAATAGTAATAAAACAAAAAGTAGGCCATTTTGGACTTGATGTAACACATAAATATATCATTTAGGTAGACCTATTATTATTACAGAATAGAAACCTATATTTTCTGCGACTTGCTGCCCTCCTTTGTTTGTCTGGGGTAATGACAGGTTGCCAGGGCTGGTGGTATGCAAAAGATTGTTTCAAATGTATGACCATTGTCTGTGTGTCATTACGGTCTATGGTCATTACATGAATGAAATTAAAGGGTTAAAACAAGGGAATTTCCTAATTGTATATTTTACTGTAGAGGTCACTAGTGTTGGAAAAGCACGTGGAGGTTTATAGACCAGATCTTGTAGAGGTGCAGTGGCTCTGCGCAGAGCTTTTTGCCCAAATTCTAAGGTGTCCAACCACACAGCAAAGGAATGTTATTTCAACCATATATCTGTTTCAAATATATTTATTATAACTTCCCATACTATTTGAGACAACATACGATCCCCTTTACATCTAGGCTTACTCATTCACTTCAAACCATAGTGCACCCATTCTTTAGTTTGCCCTTTGTGAATAGAGATAGGCAAGAAAGCTTTTTCCTTTTAGGCTACATTTGACTGGAATAACCTTACTGTCAACTAAGGTCAGTAACTTAATTTCACTTAAGTAAAGCTGCTTTGTATACAAAGCTAAACTCTCCCTGTACCTGCCATCAAGCTTTGACTACCATGACTGGGATTGTTTTCAATGTGGAAGTGCTATTGTGGTGAAGTGTGTTTCAATAATCTCATCATTTTCAGTCTGTTTTGTGGTGGGGATCTTGGAATTGTGGGCAGGAGAATGTGAAGAGCAGGGTGCCTTGTGATTGAGTGCAATTCATTTTGTTTGTGACTGTGTGTGATCTGTTGGATGTCTATTGTCATCCTTTTTTGTTACAGGACCACCTTGATAAGAGATGATGCATCACAGGGGCAATACTTATTAAAATATTAAATTACTGTGATTCTGTTCAGCTAACTGCCTTTGACAAGCCTAGAAATGAAGCTTGACCAAACCAAAAGGCATTCTCTCCCAAAAGAATATTTGACCTCTTATTTTGATCATTTTAGAACCAGCAGTCTATATCAAACATTGTGTTGTTATTAACATCCAATGCATTTACAATGCAAAAACAAAACAAAGACTCAATAGTTTGGATTCTTTGTTTTATTGAAGCCAGGGGGTCTGATTAACATGGTTTCTTTGTAGCATAAGCTAGAATCCACATGGCTGCTGCTTACAAGCGACTCAAGTGTTTTACAATCAAACATCAGGACAGAAAAAACAGCCATGTGCTTACAATGGACTTATCCTGAAAACAAACAGGCCGAAGCAGGTGCTCGTAGCCCGTTATGTGGTGTGTAGACGCCAGTCAATAGTGGTCGAAGGCAATCGAGTTAGGAAGTGAAGAGGCAGTTGCGTTCCAACAATATTGAGTACAAAAGTTAGAGCTAATCACGGTTTAGTCCAAACTGTACAAAGAGCAAGTGCAACTTTCAGTACGCAGCATGGGAGCGCATCATTCCACTCAGCTAAATGCCAAATTTAAACAGTGGTACCTCTAAAGCCAAGTAAATATGGATGGTTAAAGCAGGGATGATGTCTAATAGTTGGAACACAGTGAGTGGCCTTGCAATAAAACCTGATCAAATGAAATGGTAAACAAAATGACAGTTTTGAAAAAAGACTTTTTGTTCAGCAATTCATTAATCCTGTGCATTTTTATTATATTAGCATTTTTCAAAAAAAATTCAGAGACCATCCATCTCATGTAATTATGAGGAAGGATAAAATATCTCATGTCAAAGTGAAGGGCATGGGCAAAGTGCTAATTTGAATTTACGGTGCTACCTTTGTTTAAATTGTGCTTTACCAACTTAAGGGGCAGTTTTTTCTGGTGTACAATCTACTTAATTACATCCAAGATAGAAACCTAAAAACTGGGGATAAATATGCGTTTATTATTAAGTTGATTTGAACTTCAAATTCCAAATGTACATAAACATGTACACAGGGGTAAGTGTTTATGGCGGTGAAAGTAGCCACAATCAGGCTGAGGCCTGGAATGCCTGGACTCCGTGCAAACAGAACAAAACAGATTAATCGTATGGATGAAAAATGGAACAAATTAGCTAGATTTCTCTTTGGTTATAAGTCGTTTATGACCACAGAATGACAATGGTGAACCGATTCTGCTTCTATTTGCAAGAAAGTGGCATTTAACATCCATAAGATTAAGCGAAGTCTTGCATATTAAGTTGACTTATGACATTGTGGTGTTGTAAACCTTTTACAGCTGATATGATAAAATTATTGTAAAAAAAAATAATGACAGGAAAATAACAGATTATTTTTTAAGAATACACATATCAATAGAAGTCAAGGCAAGGTGCCAGTGTGACAAACTGAGCAGTACAGTGAAGGCAATGGTCATACTGAAAAAGGGCACGATCAAACTAAACAAAAAGCTCAAATGCCTACACTGATGTTCCTACAGCAGCTACATCATGGGAATGTTCAACTGTCATGCGGGGTACAGTATGAATAGTATGGAAAATCCTAAGCCACAAAATACTATGCCTAAATCATATTTAGCTTGAACCACAGTTAATCAATGATACATTTGTTTTGGCTGCAAAGCGAGTGGTTTTAAGTGTTCAATTGCAGATCATGTGGTTTCTTATAATACAGTATCAGCAGTTTGCTTGAAGGCATCCAATGTATTTTTCTACAGATTTCAAATTTATAGGCCATAGATATCATTTCAAAATAAAAGACAGGCTTTTTGCACATCGACAATAATGTAAAAAGAAATAAATTATTTGTTTGACAAGAAAAGGACATAAACCTTTAACCGATAACGCTACAGTGCATTTCCTTAAAGCACATCCACAATGACAAAACCAGCTAACTCTGCGAGGCACTTGGGAGTAATAGTAGGAAAGACGCTGCCCAGTTCCCTCCCCAAATATACACAGCATAAGCTGAAGAAGTCATTTTGTTGCAAACTCTGGCCTATCGAATACCTACTAGTTGCATTTATTCTAAGCTGAAACTCAAAAAAAGAATTGCATCCTTGAAATTTCAAAGTTAACCTGAATAGATTTTCAAAGTATATTTACAGAATCCTTTGAGATGGTGAGGGACTGATATGGTGCACTGTCTGGACTAGTCATTAGTGTCATGACGTCAGTGGCATTTTAAAGTGTTATACAGATGAATGTTTAAACCAATAAATGGTGAACAAAAATAAAATAAAAAGAACTTTGTATAAATACATAAGTATATCCAACATTTTTTGTACATACTACATATGTTTGCAAATATTTTAATTTCTTTTCTAAGTGAATAGTAAGATTTTAAATACCTTTCCAATCACAACTAAATTCCTTCCATAACATAAGATGAACCAGAAGCCACAGGACAGTATATGGTATTTCCACTCTTTTACTCCGAGGGGTAAAAGCTGTTTTTACCTTAGGAACCTGCAGTCCACTGCTTCAGGCCTGTTGCCAGGGAGTGTGCACATATTTCCATAAACCGACATCCCTCACAAAATGACATTTACAGTTGACAAGAGGACAGGAAGAAAGCCAAGCATGATTCCCTCATCAACACTTGTGTCTCCAATGCCTCCCTCTCTCCTCTGTTCTCCCATTATCACATTCGATCGCCCCCTAAACTCATTTTGTCCAAACCACTGTGTGCTGTCTGTTATAAGAATTGGGAATTTGGTCATTATTTATGCTCACATGTACATTTAACTTCCAGGGAATTAATGCTGTGGATGATGCAGCTGATTTGTTGCCTTCACGCTTCGCTCTCCGGCGGCGTTACGTTGTTAGCTGAAACCATGGAGTCCTGCTTTCGTGTCATCCGGTCCAACTCCGCCTGAACGTCATTCAAACCCGGCTTCTGCCCTTGGAAAAGAGGGAGACACAAACACCAAAAGTAATCTCCTGTAGCTTCTGTGTTAAAGATAAGGTCTGCAAGCAGATGGAGGGGGGTGGAGGGAGGTGAGGTCCCATGCTGACAATGGTGGGTTCACTGCCACAGATTAAAGACATGCCTGAGTGATCATGGAATACTTTATTATATTTTAGCTTTGGTTCCAGGTTCTGATTTTCCTCATAAAATAAGATGCAGATGTACATCTTCAGTATTAAATCCTCAGTTAATGCATTGTCTTGATGGTTAATAATTGAATGAAGCATGAGGATAACACATGCACGATAGCAAATGTGAATTAGTCAAGCACGAGCAATGATGACAATCAGATGCAAACAGACCCAGTCTAAATCAAAACCAAGGAATAAATAAAATATAAATGATTTTTCATTGGTCTTGAAATCTTTTTTGGGACTGTATAGGAGTTATGCAGAGTAAGTCCCTATAGGTGCATGATGAAGGGCAGAGTATACAGGCCTGACTTCTCAAGATTTCAGAGGTTCAGTTAAAAGCACTTTCTCCTTTGAATGTTTATTTAGACTGAAAAACTCAAGACAATCACCTAAACAAATGAGACATGCTACTGTTATAGAAGCTGTGGTTCTCTCTACTTAAAAATAAATAAGACTTTAAACTATACCTGTTTTCTTGGCAGAGCCTTGTACTCCAGCTCCAACAGGAGTCCCTGGGCTCCCGGGAGCCCCAGTCTTTTTACTCAGCAGACTGTTGAAGAAGTTAGCCAGCACTCCCTCATTGGCAGCACCTGCTACAGGAAATACAATAAATAGTTTTAGAGTTTAGAGTTCCTCAGATGTTGAAAATTTTGAGTTTGAAAAGCAGAAAGGATCAAAACATTAGGGATAACTGCATCAACAGATTATATACTTCTCAACAATAAACATTTGCTGATGTTTTTCTCATGTATCATCTCTTATGTATAAGTCCACGTTTGTGTGCTACACTGCCCCCCTCAGGCCCTGTTCTGTAGCACACTAAATGGCAAACAGAAGTACAGCTAAAGTCAAGGACAGGTTAAATATTTATGCATATTTTATAGAAATATACCTTTCATGTTTGGATCAGGCTTCTTGACAGCAGACATGGACGCAGCAGTGACACCAGTCTGGCCTCGTCCCGCGGGTCTGGGTGAACCTGAGTTTGTCCGACCTGGAGACTCCTACAACAGGAAAGCACTGCATTTACTCTGCATACTTACACTACAATGAAGATGATGCCACTGTGCAACAACTCACTGTTCCTCTTGTTGGTGTGGCAGGCTGCTTCGCTAGCAATGACTGTGGAAGAAAATAACAAACCATTATACCTGGAACTACTAAATTCTAAAAAGAAAATCTTAAAACAAGTATTTGTGAAGTCTAACTTATATACTTTGTTTTATAACAGTAAAACTGTGCTGCACATTTTAAAACATTGTCAAACCGTGGTACACACCTGTTGCTTCATTAGGAAAACCTGCTCATCCTCTGCACAGATCTCCTTGTCATGCACAAGCTGGAAATGACAATTGAGACAAAATTGTTAACAAAACTATGACCTCTTTCAGAACAATTTCATTATATAAATAATTATTCCCATACCTTGCGCACTGGTGGCTTTGTAATAAAATCTTCAAAAGGATCTTCTGGTCTAACTGTTGACAAGTTTTCATGCAAAATTCCAATTTTCTTCTCATTGTCCCATCCAGAAGGACTGAAAAAATAGGATAAATTTAAAGAGGGTGACAACACTCCCTGTTTTCCTTTGCACAATGTTGTTTTGAAATCAGTTACTTACATGAACACTGCATCTTTCTCCACCACTAAGGCAGGTGTGGTGAACTGGAAGTCATACAATTTATGAACAATATATTTGTAAAGCAAATCCAGATTCTTTTCTTCTTTGACTGAAGTGTAGATCAACCCAGCTCCATCTTATAATTTGAGTTAAAGACATATTGTGTTGCAAGTAATGCATTTTAAGCCTTATATAAATCACTGAAACAGTTAATTTGAAATGGAAAGGATACATTGTAGACAAAACTGTCGGATGTGTGACTGGATGAAATCAAAGTGCTCATCTCTGTAGTCATGCTCCTTTTCCAATACACTGACTGCATCACACTGAAAAGACATGCATTACTTAGTTACCAAGTGTTTTTCCTTGACAACGGGTCTATGGAAAGAATATGCAGAGAGTTTATTTTTCCATAGTGGCCTGGAGCAGTTTATAAATTATTAGATGAGTAACTTCTGTGTTCTAGCATGAACTCCTGTAGTGAATAAGCACCACAGTGCACCATAGTTGGTGTAACAAGCAGTCAGCAGAATACATGCTCCGTAATCAAGAGTAAAAAGGAGTTACATGTCTTTTTAAAGTAATTCTCATCAATTCTAGAGACAAGAGACATCAAACCTTTTCTTCATATCTTGTATCATGTAATTTGACAAATCCTCAACAAAGACCCTGAGATGGTGAAGTATGGAGCAGATGATCTGGTCACAGAGGCATGTGAACCTGACCTGATGTTACACTATCTCAGGGCAGTGACAGGCAGGAATAATGCAGCTCTGTTCCAGTTCTGGTCCAGAATACACAACAATGACTCCATACAAATATAATAAGAGGCATTTAAAGCATGACTTTCATTAAGTAATGACCACTTCGAAATGTTACATTACAAAAATGTAAAATAAACATATATTGTAGACTGTAGTGGTCAAGTTCAAAAGTCTCTGGTGAAATGAATATACTCAGTTTTCTTAGGAAAATGTTTAAAATTACATTCAAACAAAGCCATTTGGTTAGTTTAAAACAACAGCTTAGACAATGTCAACAAGAGGCATTCTATTGTGCTAAAATAAAACATTATTTATTATATTATTGTTTTGTTCAGTTTTTTCTTTTCACTAACACTGAAGTATAGGTTGGAAGAACAGATGGAAAAGCCAGTTGCATGTGGCTGCTTTAAAACTAAAGGTGTGTTCCAGGTGGGAACAGGTGTTTGTCTTTTGTTGAAGGCCTCCGCCTACCGGCTCATGGGAATCTCTCACCTTTGTGCAAACTATTAGCACTGGAATGCCCAGGTTGTGTGTGAGTACGTTGTCCCCAAGCGGCAGCACCACAGCTTCATCCTCCGGCCCAGCAGGAGCCCTTCTCTGTGGGGAGGACGGGCTGGCCTCCTCTGGCTCTGTGTACTCTTGAAATAATTTTACCACTACAAGAAACACAGACAGACAAAGAGTTACATTATTTGTAATATAAACTGTTGTTACTGCTGGCATTACACCTTGAAGTACTTCTGCTGAGGAGAAATGTTTAAAAGATGTATTTGATCATAAATTTGCTTTATGAACCTAGAGCCTCCCCGTGGTGCTCCAGCTGTGCAGAGCTGTAGAGCTCAGGGTTCAGAGGCAGGGCCTTTGGCATACTTCCTCAGCAGCAGCTCGGGGAATGCAGACAGGGACAGCCCACAACTCCACCACATTCACACATGGGATTAACATGTGAGCAGGGCAGGTATTTCATGTAAACTTAAGCCCTTGTAAGTATTTGTGGAAGTCCACCAGAATGAACTGTGACAGATTTATGAACATGGAAGACAGAATCATTTAGTTTAATAATAATTACAGATGATATTTTTTGCATTTAAATACTGAAATCTGATCATGTACATTCATTAGTAATTTTCTACTGAAAGCAATTTTGCAGTTTGTTTAACTAGACAACCTGATCAAGTATATATTGCAAGAAAAGTGAAAGAGACTTTGGCCTTTTATCTATTTTACAAACAAAGGTGAGGTCATCCAATAAACCTCTTCGAATGCTTGATAAAAGTTCAGTTTCAGTCTGTAAATCTAACTAATCTAAATAAGGTTCAGAATGCTACAATAAGCAGTAATACATGTTCAAAACAAAACAAACCAAGTGGGGTTCTGAAAATATCCACCAACCACAGGATTTTCTGTGTTTTGAACCTTGGCCCAACAAAAAGCAGATCCTGTAATTTGACTAAAAACAACTCCAGCAGCAGCAGCAGCTTGAGTTTCAGCACAGCAGGCATTTGGGTGTCCAGTCTACTGCCTGAACTCAAAGAGGCTCAGTTTACTTCCCGTCTCTGACGCTGTCGTCTGAGGAACCATGATGCAAGAGGCCTGCAAGAATCACTGGACCCAAGCCACCCACAGTCAGTCTGTCAGCTGCACTCATATCTACAAATATATCACCCCACTTCACAGTAGTCTCACAAATCTAACACAACAAATCAGATTCAACAGCTTTTCGTCTAATGTAATAAAACATTGACAGCAGGCCAACATAGCCAAGAGCTGAAGTAAAGTTGAGGGAATGCCACACTTTTAAAAGCCATTTATATTGCCACTATTATATAAGTTGCATAAATTATAGGACAACCTGCATTACATTTACAACAATCTAGCAACAAATTATGCAATAACTAATCAGTCAGTGATGATTTGAGAGAAGAGATGGACATGTGCTTTTTCCATGGCCAATGCATAACAGCACAGCCAATGGTAGATAAGCTCTGCCAGTGTTTTGAGGCGGATATGTAGGGTTAGGTCCACAGCCTGATGTCACTACAAATCTAAAAGAGAGCAGTAGGGTCACATTTGTACTGTGCCCTCATTGCACTTAGGTGTTCAAATAAAACCTCATGAATTTCTTTTTGTCAGGTGGTCATCCCAAACAAATAGCTCAGACACTACACAGTGCAAATATCAGCTAACTGAAAAAAGGTTCATCAAGTACATAATGTACAAATGTGTAATATATATACACAGAAATACATATGAGTATGCATTTGTATACAGTGCATTTTGTTTTCACTTTAACTGATGTGTTGCTCTACTGCAGCTGCATCCAGCGGCAGTCTCTGTTTATTCACACAGCATCATCTGAAACAAGGAACTACAACTATCAACTTCCAATTATCTACACATTTGCCAGCTTAGGTCTCTGTTTTACCACTTGACACTTAACACAGCATGTAAGGACATGTTCTGCAGAGTAAGTCTCACATTAATGCACATACTGTAAGCGTCTTCAAATACCCCACAGACATGACATTTAAAAGTACTAAATACTACAGAAACTGTTCATATGAAGCAAGGAGATTTCTAAAAATTAACAAGATCAACAATTGAGAACATTCATTGATCTGAAGTGGCCTGCAGGCAGAGCACACAGCTGAGGATCATGGGCCTGGCTGGTGATGACCTAGAAACAGCCATGATAAAGTCTAACATTATAAAGAGCTTGCCTTTCATACTACAGTTTCCCAGTTGCTTGTCTGCAAAGCACTCTCCATGGCATTATGTAAGAGTTTCATTACTTCCACCCTCTAACACTTGAGGCATATTTTACACTATACACTCTTTAGAGCAAACAGTATATGCATGTTATGTGGCCTGATTCACTTTTTAGAAACATTTTATCCTCATGTAATGCACATAAATAAACAACAACCTTAAAGTCAGACAATATTAAACCATACTTACTTTTCTGTTCCATTTCTCTGGTATCTTCTGGTGGAATCTTGAGCTTGTCTATGTGGTCACGAAGCACGCTTGCCCACTTCTTCAGGGAATCCATAATGGTCCATGGCCGTGACATATCCACAACAAACAAAGCTAAACAGTCAGGTAAGGTCTGTGCCGAAACTGCAAATTTAAGCAGACCCTTGTGGTAAAGGTCTCCATCCAAGATCCAAACATTGCACCGTGTGAGATCTGAAATAACAATAAATAAAACATTTCAGTGGATTTTTTTGTGTGTGTTTATTTTGGGGTTGCAGACTCATTACACCATGTATTGCTCATTAAGTACACTTACCATCTCTGTCTTCATCGTGAACACTTAAGTATAGATACTCCAGCCCCCTCCCCTTTTTGTTGTGCTCTGCTCCTTGAAGCTTGGCCATAAGTGTTGTTTTTCCTGTTCCATCCTCACCTGCAGAAATGTCACACATTTTTGCATGTAATATTTTTACATATGCATATAATTGTAACCCAAGAATTTATTAGGAGATCATAAAATACAGTCAGTGTAGCACATTCCACAACAACATACTGATATTAAAATAAACAATATCAAGATGCAGTACTTACCAAATATCAGAATATTTTTCCCTGATGGTAACTTTGAACTTGATCTCGTAGAAACTTCACTTAGAATAGAGGACCTGCAGAAAGCATAAGATTTTATTAAGCAAAATTTTAAAATTTTCTCTTCCAGTTTTACACCGGTAGATCATTACGTATTGAAGGTTATTGTTTTATCAAAATTTAAACCCTTGTAGCAATAGGGCATGGAGAACATTTCAAAAACAGGAAATGGTCAAGCATTTTGCAGAAAGCCACTGTGTGCTTTCTAGTGTCTAAAGTACAGCTTTTTACATTATGATCAAAGCGAGCCGCCAAGTATTTCTAACTGATGAACACACACTGGACAAGATACATATTTTACACTGGGATCATCAGCTGTGTTGACTTGGATACTAAAGTTACAGTTAGCTTGTTTCTCTGTCTGACGGAAAACGCTAGCCATGAACCAAGCAGGAGCTGTCAAATCACCCTCTATCACAGACAACAAGTAACTCGCGTTGTCTTAACTTAAGACAATTTCTCGTTACAAGTTCTCAAAGCAGAACTAGAGCCAACTTAGTCAGCAGCGCAGTTCACATAAAAAACACGAAGTAGGTGCAGTCATTGATAGCTAACATTGGTGCTAGCAAGATGCTTAGCCGGGTGGTTGTTTGGGAGCAGCCAGCAGTGACAAAGCAAAACTTTCATATTTGTTGCGTTATTACAAGAGGAATTGGGAGTTAGACAGGTAAAAGTATAGGGAGACTTGCCAGAGGTTTTGACCCTCTTCGTCTTCATTGTTGTTGTCGCCTGCCCCAGCGACAACCGGGAGCTGTTTCTCCAGAACGGGAGCCATCTTCTCTCTGCGACCACAAAGGCAAGGCCCTGCCCGGGTTCCGCTAGCGCCGCCTTCACGCGAGAAGCCAACAGTGCGTTTGATTCACTCACTGCGAGGCGCCGAGCAGCGCACGGGCCGCGTCTCATACAGGCTCATGCACCACACAGGAAAATGAAACGGGTTTTGCTTTAACAGCACGTCACATGTGGTGATACGGAACTATACTTCTGCCGATAACTTCCAACACACCAAATAACCAGCACACACTCAGACTGACTGGCCAATGGACTGGCCTCTTTGGCAAAACCCCAAAGAATGACGTAATGTTTTATGTTTCATGTCCTGCTTGCACAATTATCCGATATTGTCTTGACAGGTTGGTAGGTCTATCTGACTGATATTTTAGTAGGGCTCATTGAGCTGTGTAAATGAAAAGGATGAAAGCTATAAGCCTAAGTTTTATGTCTCCTCACAGTAACAGCTCTTACGGCTAGGCTATATGAAAGAAAAATATATCAACTTTATTCAAAGTGGAATCTCATCCCCAGGTCCTCCAGAAAAGAAAATGCCTGTGAAGTGCATTAAGGGCTGGTGTTCAAGATTTTGACTTCAGCAGTCATCCTTATATGCAGTGCAGACCACAGACCAGGTCTAAATTTAATATTCCTTCTCAGATAGAAAAGGAAAGGCTACTTTGATGTTTTCACGGTGGTTGGTGTACAACTACTCACTTCTCTGCATCAAGCACTCGCCTTTGTTTGAATACTGAATATTTTTAAGATAAAATATATATGTGTTTTCCTGTTAGTTTAAACAAAATCATTGCCCATTACAGATAATTGTGATGATGAAAATAATAGGCTATTTTTACCTAAGAAATGTCAATGTAAAGTTGTAGCTGTACACATTGTCCAGTAGATGGAGCAGTTACCTCATACTTCGATAGGCATTGCCTGCTGCAATAAATCACTATTACATGATCATTCAATTCAGCTGATATCCTTATGTCAGTGCATGCGTGCATGCATAGGGTCTTTAAGAAATTCTTTCTATTGTATTTACTTGTTGATAGTAGCCTGTTTAATAATAGCCTACTTGATTAAATTAAAACACACATTTAGCCTACAACATGAATGACTGAAATGAAAATGATTTATTCTGGTTTCAGCCTACCACATAAAATAAATCGATCAAAGTCGTTTATGTTTTAGTGATAATTTGGTGGTTAGTCTTATTGATATATTTAGCGAACAAACAGACCTAATGTAGTGAAATTTAAAACTGGAAAAGCGTGTGATAATCTCATTTGAGAAGAACAAGCTCCGGTCAGAGAGGGAGTGGGTGTGTGCATTGGAGGAGGGGTTTCTCTTTGGGAGGGTACAGATTGCGGAGGGAGGCGTAATGGGGTAGGCTGGACTGTGATAGCGACAGATGTCTGGAGAATTGCGAGGGGCACTCCTCAGTTGAGTCCCACAGTGCACTTGGGAAAGCAGGGGCGGAATCTGCAGCTGTCACTCCAAAGGTTTACCTTCGTTTTCACATCCAGCAGCCAGGACCAGGAGCTCAGCTAAAAATCCCTATAAGGTAAATGCGCAAAGACTTTTTGTTGCCTTTATGTTGAAATTAGGCAATAATTTAAAGAAGAAAAAGTGAATAATTGTGTAAATTAGCCTATGCTTTGTCCTTGGTTTAATTAAAACCTGTAGGCTATTCTTTCTTCTTTGAGTATGCTATTTCGACTGGTTTGATTTTGTGCGTCTTTTATGGGCTACCTACAGCAGCGCTGTTTTACGCACAGTTCTGAATTGATCTGTCTAATTTGGAGTAGGATAGAACTAAGTGGTTTGTGATGGTCGAAAACAGAAATGTGTGTTTGGATGATAAATCAAATTAGTTTTGCGCAAATATGCGACATCTTCTAATCATGAACAAAAAAGGGCTGAACAGCTGAGAGGTAGCTGTGGGAGGGTAAGAATGGGGGATGGAGAGGAGACAACTCCAGTTTTTTATCTAGAGGGTTGTAGGCAGTACGTAGCCTGTCTAAGTCCCTTTGTTTCATTTTAGTCTATGTTGGAGCACAGCTGAACATCGCGATTTTGTCAGCTAAGCCCAGACCCTCACTTTAGTCAGAAATACGCTCTGCTTTAAGGTCTATTCCTTTGTTACTAGCATTGCCTCCTTCTGTGCGCGCAGAGCTCTCTTGTGCCGGAGAAACCTGTTAACTCGGAAGGAAATTTAATCACTGTTCAAATTTGCTGCATTGGGCCGCAACGTATCTTTGTGTAGGCCTACAGTAGGATCCTTACCAAAGGGACTCAAAAGAGTACTTTCAGCGTGCGTTATGCGTAAGAAAGCACCAAGAAACCCTAATCAATTACACGGATCAACTGGTCTGTTAAAGTAGGGTCATCGTTACTATACTTTAACAGACCAGTTGATCAGTCCAGTTAATTGTCCATACACTAGCTTAATTCGTATTTACAGAGAAACGGTGAAGCCAAAAAGTCTACTGTATTGGTGCTGGGCATAAGCCTTTATACACTATGCGTATGACGCGTCACATCTTAATTGCCCCATTGCAGCACTATGGACAGTTCCCGGATTGTCTTTTACCTGTGCCAAAGTATTACCAACTGAATTGCTGCTATAATGTTAATATATCATTTAGTGGACAAAAAAATATAATTGAATAAAATGTATAAAATATAATTATCAGTTCCTTGATATTGTACGCATAGTTAAAAAAAAAAAAACATGTAAAAAAAAAAGTAAACTTAAAGGTATAAGTTTACTTTCTATGCATACAAGACAAAGTTGCACCACCAGTTCTCTTTTAGTTCCTG